TATCGACCAGACTCCACGTTTATTAACTTCGGTGATCGTATAAGAACCGGTGTTCCAACGTGATATGACTGTAAGGCTTCCAAAAAGAAGAGATATATGAATAAACAGAATTCTGTTGTAAATAGAAAGAAAGAAATAAATAAATAAATAAAGAAAGAAAGAAAGAAAGAAAGAAAGAAAGAAAGAAAGAAAGAAGGAATTAATGTGGGAAAAAGAGGAACGAACGAACGAACCAACTAACGAAAGACAGGAAAAGAAAGGACAAATAAAACATTCTAAAGGAAATTAAAAAAAAAAAAAACCGAAATATTCGAAAAAACACACACACTTAGAAAGAAAGAGCTCGATAAAGAAATCAACTGATAGATATATGATTGTATAACAATAAAATGAAAAAATATACAGCAAATATCAGAAGATAAAATGATCGACAAAGAAATAAAAAAAATAAACATAGTTCAGAACACTGCAAGTGAGGCAAGAGGAAACGCTGGGTGAAATGAAAAGAGATTTCACAAGCAGATGGAAAATGTCATAAAATGTCTACTGTCAGCCAGATAAATTAGCGAGAACCTGGCCTTCAGGGATGCTGCGAATTTCGTCTTAAGTTCACGTTGCTTATTTGTACCTGTTTTTCTTAACTTTTTATATTTTCATTTTATTTTTTATTTTATTCTGGAACGAATAGCCAAGCGTCTTTCATTAAAGGCAAGAAATAAAACATGGACGAACTTTATGAGAAAATACTTAAGGAAACCGTAAACCATGTAAGGTGCAACAAACAAAAATCTTTCATTGAAATTTCTCCATTTTATGGGTTCCGATTTTCAGGCATTAAAATTTGCTTGCTAAATCTGTTTCTAATCGCATGACGCTAAAAGAACTCTTGAACTGTCACCTTCTTCAGTTGAAATAAAATTCAGATGAGGTTAGAGAAGTTTGGGACAATTTCAACTTGGAAGATTTTCGTATTGTTTTTAATATTCTTTTTTTTATATAAAATTTTAATCGTCGGAAAGGAAACTACAGCTAAAAATCAAAATACAACTTTGATGACTTTAGTCGAAGCGAAAATATATAAAACAGTTCAAAACATATGAAAGACGTAAGTTGTTTGAATTTAAAAGTCGTCAACGTGGTTGGACCTGAGAAGCAATGAAAGAATTATCTCTTTTAGGCATCAACATATATTCCAACACATAAAATAAGAATTCGGTTGCTGACAATAAAAAAAACATGGTCGGATTTAATTGCGATTTATTTGAAATAATTTAATAACTTTGGAATTTACTGTGGCATCAAACACATAAAGAAATAAAGAAGGACATTAATATTCCAGAATTTACCAAAAAAACCTGACTATTTGCGGTTGTACAATATTTTTTAAAGATTGCATTTATGTAGCATTTGGCTTATGAATTCAAACGGTAAAATGGAAGATTTTTTCTTTATATTTATGTGCTTTCCTTGATAAGAGATCGAGGATTATCGAAGCTGGACTGGTATTTCTGAATTCATTTTTCTTATTTCTTTCATTATCTATTCAGTAGATTATTTAGTGTTTTGTTACGAGTATTTGTCTTAATTGTCTGTATTCATGCCCAGAATTTGTATCTTGAATATAAAAAGAGATGGAATAGAAAAGAAGTTATTCAATTTTAAATTATTTCCGCTGTATTTTTCTGTACAAATTAATTTACAACCTAACAAAGAATTAAAACAGAGAAATTACGTATCTATATTATGGAAGCAGCATTGAGCAAAATTTGTTTTAATAGGAAATCAGGTTGAAACTATCAAATAAGCTAGACACAGAATCTGAGATAAATATTGTTTTATTTTTAAAATCTAATTTTTTTGTGTAATCAAATCCACGGCTGTAACAAGAAAACATATTTTACTTTCCTTAAAGACTTATACTGGCACTGCTTTTCGAAAAAAAATTTAAATCGAACTTGAACAAAATAAACTTGTTTCTTATAGGTATACTATTTTTCGTTTCACACTTACGTGGTAAGTACGATTCAATCATAATAGTTGCAATTCTTACTAGAAACCACAAGCTTGTTTCATAAATGATTTCCCGTTATGAAATTTATTCTTCGAAAATAAAATCCAATTGCGTTTTATTCAATTATATATTTTGCGAGGAAGAATAGTGTCTAAGAGACAAACGGTTATTGTGTGGGAGAGAGTAAGAAAAAAGAGAACTTTTATTAAGGAACGAGAACAGTAGAAGAGTAATCAAAAAGACAGTAGATAACGATTGACACAACATTTTAATTTTTGAATATCAAAGTTGGTTGGAAAGCATGAAGATTGAAGACAGTTTCACAAGCGAGAAGTGCGAGAAAACAGACCACTTAGCATAGAACTTACAGTTACATCTATCCAATTCAAATATAAATTGATGAGACCTTTTCAATCTAGTACTGAGCATAAATTAATAAAGTCTAGGTACCATAGCGAAGAGTTCATGCGAAAAATTACAATGAAAATATTTATAGTTACCATTATTTTCATTTTTTACTAGTGTTCACCCAATACAAGGCCTAAGGGCCACTGAAAATAGAGAGTAAGCTTGTGGAATTGGATTAGCGTAAGTAAGGTCAAGCGTTAAGAATATAGAGTTGAAGTAGTCTTTAGAAAGAACCGGAAACCCAATCAAAAAAGAAAACAAGGGCTAAAACTCTATTCCTGTTCGAAAGACAGGAGAGAAGTTTGAATCGGAGGATAGGTAAACATATCTTTTCTTATTGGTAGAGGAGAGAAAAAATTGTAAAATAAATAATTCGTGGATAAAACGTCGGAGTTCCTGCACATGCGTTAGGAGTACAAGGCTGAAGAAGACTTATGCAAGGAACCGGAAACCCGATCCTAAACAGGAAACAAGGGATAAACCTCTACTCCTGTTCAAAAGACCGAATAGGATTGATAAGACGAGAGGCGAAACTGTGTACTCCTACTGGGTCTTTCACTTATCAGTCAAATTTTTAATGCCTTTTCAGTTAAATTCGGCTGCATTTGCTGTGAAGAATTTTATGACGAACTTATAAATTTGGTGCTCATTATAAAAAGTTTTCCACACCAAATAATTTTGCAGCGATCAAAAAAGATGAAAATCGGTTGGTGCGAGATCAGATAAATATGGTGGTAGGAGTGGAACCAAACAAGTGAATACTATTTTTTTCGTTTGTTACATTCTTGCTGTACATGACTTTGAGTTATCAGAAAAGAAAGCATCATTCGTCATACTGACGAACGCAGGGCGCTTTTCGACTGAACCTTTATGGATCGACTTACAGCTGCTGAACGTATAAATGGGCAATTATTGTTTCGTTACGTTTTAAGAAGACTAAATAATATTCCAATGATCCTACTACACGCAACACATTATTCTTTTCCATGGAACTCAGTTGTGGGATCGATTGTGAAGATATATCTTTGTCAATCCACTGCTTTTGCGCTTAACATTGTCGTAGGTAGCGCATTTTTCATCACGTTTTATGTTATATTTAAGGAAAGGTTAGTTAGGATGAGATATTCGTCTTTACAGCTGGTTCAGTAAAATGGAAATGACGTATAAACATTGGTGTAGGAAACCGATTTTTCATCATATATTATGTTATATTTAAGGAACGGTTAGGATGAGACATTCGTCATTATATTTTGTTCATCAAAACGGAAATGGCGTATAAACATTGGCGTATTTAACCCATATTTCATCAGCTCTTATGTTATCTAAAAGGAATAGTTAGAATGACTTATTCGTCATTATAGCTGGTTCATCATAATAGAAATGATGTATAAATATTGGCGTATATAACACATATTTCATCAGCTCTTATGTTATTTATAAGGAATATTTAGTTAGGATGAGATATTCGTCATTACAGCTGGTTCCCGAAAAGGGAAATGACATATCACATAAATAAATTTAGTCCATTCATACCGTTGTATTTGACTATCATCTGCCATCAATCACTGCATATCAAGCCAACGCATTGGCCGATCGATACTTGAGCATATTAATAGATGCACGTATTTAATTATTTCTTAAAGAGTGTAAGTGTCAACTCCCGGACTGGATATTCGAAGGCCTTAATAAAGAATGCATGGCATTGTTAATGAAAAGGAACAAAAAACAAAAAAATCCGTGAAAACACGCTTAGGCAATAAATATAAAATCTGTAGTAATAAGAAACACTGGTGAATTGTTGCACACCTCAGATCTTTTTATTAATGAGTTTTGCTCCAGGAGAGCAACTCACTGCGCCTTCTTGGTCTCACGTCTTCCCCTGACATGAAGTGGAATGATTATATTAAACTAACTGCTATGTCTACTGCTAAGAAGGATGGTTCACTGTGTCGTAGCAGGCAATTATTATCATCAGAAACCATCTTGCAGATTTATATATCTACCAATTGCCTGTGCGTTTAATATTGCTGCTATATCTGGTCTGGCGCTCTGGCTATATTTATCGAGATATATATATATATATATATATATATATATATATATATATATATATATATATATATATATATATATATATACTCTCTCGACTCTCTCGTCGACTCAACGTATGAGGGTCAAGCAGATCAGTTCCCAGGAAACCGACAGCCCGACAAGAGTACATGAGAATTGATTATAGTGGTGAAAGCACTACGTGCCACAAGTTCCCCAAACGACCCTCCGCAGGTCTTTGAATTCAGAATTGTCCATCTCCTAGACCAGTTGCCATCCAAGGCTATACAACCCAGTCTGTCATGCTATTTACCCATAGCTGCAGGGAGAAGAAGAGGATTCATACCTTTTTCAAGGGTATTAGCAGTCGAATCCATTATATCCATATATATATATATATATATATATGTGTGTGTGTGTGTGTGTGTGTGTGTGTGTGTGTGGTGTGGAAATTCACGAAATAGTAAAAAGAAAGGATTGTAATATTATCGGTCCTGATCTGGCATTTCAATCACTTTCCCAACGCATTGACGTTGAAAAATCTGATCACGTACGTTCACCGAAGTTAAGCAATATCGAGCCTGGCCAGTACCTAGATGGCTGACTGTTTGGGAATGCCAGGTACTGTAAACTTGAATGTGTGAGTGGTATAATAGATAATTGCCCGGAGTTATTAATCAGAGATTCGAGTTTGAATCCCCGTTGATGTCGTTATATTTACTTATAGGCAAATACCCTTGGGAAACGTACGAATCCACCTCTTCAACTCTAGCTATGAGCGAAGTAGTAAGACTTTATCGGTACACCATTATTGTGACGTCGCCCCCCCCCCTGGTCGCAGCGTCGACTCTGTCGTTCGATCTCGTTCGCGGCTCCAATTGTGACGTGACGTGATGTAGCCGCCCAAGGGTCGATCCTTGTCACGGACAGCACCAGTTGTGACGTTTTTGCCGCGGCGTCAGCTGTTCGCTCCTCGCTGCTCCAAGTGTGACGCTCTAACCCTTTGGTTAGATGATTACCAACCTCGCCGTTCCCAACTCGCTTCCAACACCTGGTTACTAGGGTAACTGTACTGATCTCCGGTCTGACTACCCACGTTGTGATTAGATCTTAGACAGACGGGATCAGACAGGGATTGGGGCCGTATGCAAGTTGAGTTCGACGGGGTGGCAACACACAAGTAAAAAAAAAAAACTCACGAGGCCAAAAATTACTGATAAAAAAAGGGTAACAACCTTTTATATCTAATGTTCGTTACATAAAAATTATTCTTACTTCCCGACCCGTTTTGTGGACTGTGGCACCAAGCTTCTACCATACAATTTAAAGACTTCGAGTTGCCTACTCTCTAGAATTTTGTATGTCGGAGTGTGGTTTGGTTTCGACACTGGGCGCTAATCTCTACCAGTCGTTCACGGCTGATTCTTCTCTTCGGCTTGAGTTGGACGAGCTTATTCACTTCGGCTTGAGTTGGACGAATTTCTTCACTTCGATTTGGGTTGGACGAATCTCTGTTCTTAGGCTTGGTTTGATTTCAACTTCTTCTATGCGCAACTGCAAGTAACTTCTTCTTCGTCCGCCCTGCAACTCTTCTCGCCAAGGTCCGAACTCTTCTCTCTGCCGTCTGAGACTGAACTCTTCTCGCTGCCGTCCGGGGAACTCTAACTTCTCTCTGTCTGGCCTGCAATTCTTCTGCCTGTCTGGCCGGCAACTCTTCTGCCTGTCTGGCCTGCCATTCTTCTGCCTGTCTGGCCTGCAATTCTTCTGCCTGTCTGGCCTGCAACTCTTCTGCCTGTCTGGCCTGCAATTCTTCTGCCTATCTGGCCTGCAATTCTTCTGCCTGTCTGGCCTGCAATTCTTTTGCCTGTCTGGCCTGCAGCTCTTCTGTCTATCTGGCCTGCAATTCTTCTGCCTGTCTGGCCTGCAACTCCGCTCCAACTTCTCTACGGCTTTCGAGCAATTTTCTTCTCTTCGACTTGGCTGCAACTTCTCTGCCTGTCCGGGCCAAACGGACCGACCCTTCTTGCCCGCAAGGGGCGAATGAACAGGGCCCGCCGTCCGCTCTCCAACTGCTCTGGCCGTCCACCCCGCAACTCTGATTTCTGTCGATTGGGGTCCTGCTTTTATTGACGCCGCAACAAACTGGGGTGGGTCTGTCGGCGTCAGGGTTTTCTTGATAATTCCAAAAGTCGCATTATTTCTGATTTCCCATTATCGCTCTTACTCTCACCCCTACTTCCTCACAGTGCCTCTGGGGGGGGAGGCGCACACCCATCTCTCCCGGTCTCTCGTATGTCAGGTGACCGTTTTCGACCAATGGGTCCTGGTCGAGCGTCCTTTCTCCTCTTCCTCGCATATCACGTGACCGCTCTCAGCTAATGAGATTCTGGTTGGGCGTGTTTCGTCCTTCGTGACGTTTCCAATCGGGCGTGGCCTATCCGGGGCTTTGTTCTGGGGAAGAAACACCTTGCTAAAAAAAAACAAAATCCAATTTGGCCTTTTTTTTCGCACGCACGAAAATGACAATCTCGGCCTTTCTCACCTTTTTGGCTTTTTGTCAAAACAGCCCGCCGCTAATTAGATGTGACTTCAGGAAGAATTTTCTCGTCTTGCTGGCGCTTTCTGTGAGCCAAAACAATTGTTTTCATTCCTTTATTTTCGCTCAGGCCTGATAGCCAAAATCTTAATTATCTGAATTGAAAATATCTTCACTTTATCATCGTGGGGGTTCTTATCTTCAACTCTAGAGCTGGTCAGGATCTGTATACAATTCCAGCGGTCACCCTCTCATCCCAAAGACACCTTTTTTCGATTAATATTTCTTTTTCCATTGTTCTAAAAAATCCCATTTCTCCAAATTGATAATGAACTTCCACATTCCGCGGACACAAAAGTAGGCCAGGTGTTTTGACCGATTTTATTAATCGTCCGTCTTGATGTCTTTCCACTTGTACCATGTCTGTTCCCTTTCTTTCTTTTAATTATCTCTAACTCTATTCTTTCAAATAACAATTTCTATTGTTCGTGAAATTCGGTCAGGCGCGTTGGCCTAGATATCTCTTGACACCTGTTTTCGCTTATGACCGGCTTTTGCATTATCCATCTCTCCCTCTCTTTTTTCTTTTTCTTTTCTTTTTTTTTTTTCTTCTTCCCTTAGGATCGCCTAAATACAATTAGAGAATTATTCTCAAAACTCAATTATTCTTCGTCTAAATAACTAACAACTGGTTAATAAACCGAATAAAAATTAAATCATATTTCTATGAATATTTCTTTTTAGTTTTTCTAATAATGCAGGGTGCCACAATCGGTACACCATTATAATCTTCAAAGAAAAATTACAATGTAAAAATGTATTTTTTGGTTTTAAAAAACCTGCAAATGGTTAATAAGCCGTAGCAAATGAATGACATTCAAGACAACTGCGTGTATTTAAGCGTAATACTAGATTGACTATTAGGTCTCATCGTTTTACTGTTTACCTAGCTAGATGTAACCGTACGTCCTATTCTAATAGTTTCTTTTCTTGCACTTCTCATCTCTTCAAAGATTTAAATGTAACGTCAATCGCCATCTGTCTGTCTTCCTGAAACCTGTTCCTCTATTGCCCTTTCTCTTTACTAAAGATTAATCATCCTTTTCCACTAGTAATTCCTTGGTCTTTACTGGTATTATCAACTTGCTTGGGATGAAATGATTACAAAAAATTGGATGAGGCTTTTTGTGGCTACTAACCATTGACCAGTCTAGCTAGATTTTATAATGGGCTACCAAGAGATATTTTGCCGCCAACGTAGTCTTGGGAGTAGTGGGGAGCACACAAGTCACTCCACCATATCATCGTAGCTAATCACAGAGATATTCAAATTTTGAGTTTATGCCACCTCACTTTAACAAAAGTTGTTTCCGATGATAGCCAAAATGAGGTAAAAAGAAGCATTTACCATTAATTTATATGGGACCTGTATTTGAACAAACCCTTTAAATGCAACCTTTTTCGGGATGCAGAATTAATTTCAACTTCACTCACTGCGACGCGAATGAGTCCGAATTTTTATTCTTGATAACTTCAAAACGGTAAATTTTATCAAAATGCCTTTGTTATTTTCAAATTAAGCACGTAGAAGTACACCTAAATGGAACTATTCGGGAATTTTTTTTATTAGAAACTGAATGTGGGGCTCGGACTACAAATTACTCTTTTGAATTTCCGAGTTGAAATTAGTTCTGTCACTCCCTTTTTCTGTATCTTCCTGTCTCAATGTCGCGGGTCCAAAGTGGGATCCTGAACTGGCAAAATATACTTACATCTTACTCTCTTTCACTTTTCTATCACACGCCGAAAACGGAAATTACTTATGACTCAACCTAAAAGAATTGGTTAGCATTCTGCAGCAATATCTGCAATATCTGATGATATTCGACAGTGATGATAATGGATGGCCGTCTTTAGAGAAACGTGTTTGTTTTAGTTTTGCGAGCAAACTAACATGATCCTTACTAAATGGCTTCTTAATTCATTACTCCATTAAAATGGCGGTATATTTCATTATCAGTTATCATTCAGTGCCGATTACTGTGTATCGCGCTAACGTATCGGGCTACTGATGTTTGCCTATATTTAGTGGATACAAGTATATATTTTAGAATAGTGTAAGTTACATCTACCGGTCTGGACATGTGTCGGTACTCAAAAGATCATGAAAACCTCCAAGCATTTTCACAATATTTTTCTGCAATCACATAACCCGGCTAATCGTATTGAAAATCTCAGGCAATGTTATTATTCGTTATGGCTGTGAACAAAAATATTCTAATATAAATTAATGACAGCTACTGCTTTGTTTTACTCTATTTCCGCTGGCAAAATATTTCGAAGGAAAGAACTATTTTCTCATAGCGACGGAAACTAGTTTCATAAAAGCATGTACATTACAAGGAATTACCTAATTCATACGCGACAAACATAATGGATATGGTTTTATCATAATAAAATATAATCACTGTATAAAAACGTAACTGAAAAAGGATAGTTGTTTTGCAAAATCATATTATTTAAACACATAGTGTGAACAAATTTAAAACAAAATAACTTGAGCAAAGAGCAATTAAAGATTTGAACTACAGAAATATCGTCATGACAATATGAATTATAACGGATAATTGATGCAAAGGTGTTCGATGAAGTACACCACAAAGATATGCAAAAATAGAAAGGAGTGTAAGACAAGGATATGTTTTCTCACCGAGCTTCACCAGAAAGTGATGATAATGAATGCCCTTCTGTGGACTAACGCGCATCATTTAAACTGGCTTCTTAATTAATTACTCCATTAATCAAGACGGATATTAAATTTATGGAACTTCATATCGTCTTAATGTTGTAGAAATGGCTTTAGAACTCATTGGATTCGTATGGATGTACATGCTACTGTTCAACCCCAAAGGTGGGCGAGAGCTGTAACTTTTTGCAACCTATATGATGACATGTTTAAGCCTGTGTTGCATGAACACGCAGGCGTCCAACTCTTACACGAAAAGAAAATTTGCTCTCAATAACACTTGGCGTCATTCGAATCTCCAGGTGACAGTCTCATGATACCGCTAGATACGGATATGAGAGCTTTCTG